TCCTCCTCCTCTCTAGTCTCCCTGGGACTTCTTTGCACAGCCAGGAAGGACCCTTCCTTTAGCCTCAGATAAAAACCCTCCACTCCTCATAACTGGGAAAGCTTGAGCAAATAATCTAAATCTCCAACACTGGTTTCCTCAATTATGAAAAACAGTTGTGGAGAGAAATAGTCTTTATATGTTCAAATGCCCAGCACAGAGCTTGATACACAGGGACACAACAAATGGGACTTCTCTTCCTCTGGCCCCAGGTACCACAAAAGTTGGTCTCTGAACTATGTCCACTGGAGAAGTGGTTGAATAGGGTAAGCCTGAAAAGAAAGCTTCCCTGACAGGGTAGGAAGCTTCTTCCCTGTGCACTTGCCTGTCTGCCCAGCTCTAGGGGAGTGGCCCTAGCACCCAGCCAGGGGCACCAAGCCAAGGTCAGTGACCAGGCCTAGAGCCGGAGCCTCCTGGGAGGGTAAGTTTAAATGAGTAAATATGGTCCCGCCTGGGTGTGGCCAGCCACAGGCCAGAGCTTCACAGAGGTCCCTCCCTCCCAGCCTACAGCAGAAAGGAGGTGGTCAGACAGCAGGCACAGCCGCCAGTCCAGGTGTAGAGTCAAATGAACACATTCCCCTGCCTCCACATAGCCAGCACTGGCCAGGAGCATGGCTTTGGTTCCCAGGAGGGCAGGCTGTGGCCTTGGTCTCTGGGAAAAGGAAAAGCAGATGTAGAGGGTCTTGGGGACCCTTGGCCTTGGAGACCTAGGCCAAGGATCTGCCCCCAAATGCCTGAGGGCTCAGCTGCAGCACTGATAAGGCTGAGTGGCCTTTGCTCGTGCGGGGTGAGGAGATGGGGTAGAGACCAGTGCAAACCACCAACACACCCAGGTGCTTGGATCACTGAAAGGCGAAACTCCTGTACACCTGGAAAGCTTGAGGCCTGAAAGGGGTGACTTACCCAAGGACACACAGCCAGTGTGAGGGCAGAGGCCGGCTAGGCAGAGCCACTAAGAGGGATGGGGGAAGGATGGAAGTCAGCCAGGGTTCCTTGACTCACAAGCCATGCTCTTTACTTCAGACAGGGCTCTGCCCAACTGTGGTCTAACCTCAATCCCTCCTGCTCTAGCAAATGCTTCTCTCTTCAGAGTTCCTGTATGTCCTTCTCCTTCTTGCTCCAGTCCCCTCACCCCATCTCCACTCTCCAATCCTTTAATCATCTTTGCCATTCTCCACACTCACCGCCCCCCCCCACAGGGCAGCAGCTGCTCTGTGGGTGTCAACACACCCAAGTATGCGCCACACACCTTCATGCATGTGTGCCACTAAATGCTGCAGACCCACCAGGTGCGTCTGAGTCTGCCAGTCTGCAGGAGACCCCTCCCCCAGCCCCCTGTTGGGGGAAAGGGACCCAAAGACTAGCCTTCCCACAGCTCCAGGACAAACTCCTTTCAGAATACTTTTTGTCCCAAGCAAGGGGAGAGAAGAGAAAATAAATATTTCAGGAGCCAAATAGCACCAACCCCACTAGACCAAAGATCAGGGCTTTTTAGCTCAGCCAACAGAGAAGAAAATGCTTTGAAATCCACTTATTTTCCAAGCCAAGTTTAGACCTCTCTCTCTCTTCCCAATCTAGCTCCACTGACTGGGAAGTTCTTCCTGAAGTCTTAGCTCCATCCTGCCTGCTGTAATTGTGGACAGACAGGGCAACATCAACCACAACACAGCCAGATGTCCAGCTTCTAGCACCTAACACCACCCTCTTCCCCCATGAGTAAGTCACCAAACTGGGACAGAAGGACATAGGGTTGGCTGGACTCTGGCCCCATGACTGGCTTGTAAAAGCCATCAGCGATTACAGTGATGCTGAGGTTGTGCTGGCCCCGCCATGATCTCCTCCTTCCCTCTTCCCTGTAAAAGGGAGATAATTGCCTCAAACCAACTGGCTTCAGAGAGTCTGGACAGTCCCAGGCATGGTCCCAAGGGGTAGGGAGAGCCCCTCCACCACAGTGCCACAGATCCAGAATTTGACCCTTGTTGATGGGTTCTGCGCCCACATGGGATCTTCACACCCCTACCAGAACCTAGTTGAACACCAACTATGACTTGTGTCCAAGAGGAAGACCTGTACTGCCCACCTCACCAGTTGTTCTCCAGTAAGGCCCGTTGTCCAGACTAGATGGCAGAGAAGCAGGGAGCCAGCTCAAATGCAACCAGGGTGATGCTGGATGCTCCCATTTGTCCCTGGATTCCCCTCTTTCCCAAGGAGGTACACAGGTGGCTGGCAAAGTGTCAACAAGGGCCCACACCAGGCCAGGGTATACACTGAGATTTTGTACCCAGTGCCAATGAGGGAGGACAGAAGGCCCAGCTGGCCAGGAAGCGAAGGTTGACAGGACAGGCAGAGGTCCAGGCCTTTCTGGGGGCACAAGAGAAAGGGACATCCACAGCAGAGACATCTTCCCAGCACATGGTCAGAAGAAGAGGGTCGGAGGGGCTGAGACACAATCAATGAGGGCCTAACCTAGGTCCCCTCTCAGGAGCCAGGGCATCCCCCAGCCTCCTGCAGCTGCTCCTCCCGCCTCCAACCTGAGGAGTCTCCCTCCACCTGCTCCCCATCACACCTCCCAAGAAAGACCCAGGGAAGATTTAAAAAAATCACTGCTGCTGGAGAGAGATTACATAACAGCAGCGAGAAAGACGATCACAGCTCCTAGCCAATGAGAAAAGCCAAGAGTCTCGAGGGACAGAGCTGGGACACTCAGACTCTCCAGTCCAGGGCCACCAGGCAGAGTGGGATGGACAACGGGCAGTACCTGCCACCTTTCCAAGTCTTCTACCATTCTCTTTCAGGCACTGGGTACAGAAGACAGAAGTGGTAGCCCAACCCCATACCCATTCCCGAACACTGGCTTATGATGCTCTCTGACTGGATCCTGCTTCTCCCCTTGAGCCACAGTCTCCAAGAGCAAGGCTTGTATGCTTGCCTGTCTTCCTTGGAAGAATCTCTCTCTACTATAAAGTTATGCCTGAAAGAGTGTAAGGACTAAAGCTCTGACATGGCTTTGCTTTGTGATCTCAGGTAAAAAGCTGGACCTCTTTGGTTGTTACAGTAGTGAGTGAAAATTCCTCTCTTTCCCAGAGAAACCCCTTACAAAGATACACACACACACCACACACACACACACACACACACACACACTTCCATATGTACATGCCAACACATATGAGTTGTGTTGGGAGGACAGGGAAATTACATAAAACAAAGAGAATATGACCATTGAGACCGAAAGGCCCAAATGCCCCAGCTGGGAAAGAGCTACACATAAGCTCCAGCATCCCCCAATCATCCCATATAAAGATTCCCAGCCACTTTCAAACTGATCCCACCCCACCCCCATCTCCTGCCCAATACACTGAGCAACCACAGGAAGGAAATTCATTCCCAGGAAGGCCGTGGGAGCTGGGAAAGCAAGGCTAAGTAAGTCCTGAGGCTGGTGTGACCCAGTGGCCACAATTTGGTAGACATCTGTGAACACTGACATGTGGTTTTTCAATGCTCCCCTTGGCTAAGACCTCCCGTAGGGGCTTGGAGGGGAGTGGGAGATGGACAGCCCTAACTCTACGCACCCAGCCTCATGCTGGCCTGGGCTGCCCTCCTATCTCCAGGCCAGAGCAGCCCAAGGTCACTACTCCAGCCGGTAAACTTCCCATGGTCCAGTCTGGCCCCTGAGTTGCTGCAGAGACCCACTGAGGGAATGGAGGAAGGGGTAGGTAAGACTGATAAGAGCTACTCCCAAGTCAAAGAAACTAGGCCTCCAAGGAAAAGTCATATGCCATATGCCTGGACTGGGCACTGAGAAGGGGTCACAGGATCCGCCCACTTTCCCCTCCCCCAACCAAGCAACAGTGCTCTGCTGGGTAGGGAAGGCCAGGCTTTGCACTCAGAAGGACAAGCCTGGCATAACCTAGTGAGTGGTCAAATGGACCCATGTCCAGGAGTTCTCCTTTCCTGGGGCACCCTAAAGGGCTGCTGAGAGGTCAGGGTGAATCACCAGGAGTTTGGCCCTTTGGGTCTTTACAGACGACCTGATGGGAATGGGCTGGCACTGTGGTGGGAAACTAAGTCCATCTTGGTCTTCTTGACCCAACCTTCCCAAAGTCCATCCCTCTACCTAGTCAGAACCCACTCCCAGCCCAGTTTAGCCTGCCATGGGTGGACAGAGGGGCTGGAGAACTCTTGCCCAGATGTTGAACAGCTGCAAACTTCTGGCCAGGAGATACTGCAGATGGGGTTGCTGACAAAACATATCAGGGGTCTCAGAAGCCCATAGGAGGTCCCAAGGAGGGTCCTGCGTGTCCACTTCCATAGCGACTCTGAGTCCCAACTTCACAGGCACGGGGCAAGCATGGGCCCCCGGGACACACACACTCACACCCCAACCCACCACCCCGGTGTCATCTGAACAACATCCCCCTCCCTCCCCCGCTTCCCAAACAGCTGCGGCTCCCCCGCCCCCACCCTCTGCCGTCCTCCCAGGCCCCCTTCTGCACCATTTCGGGCCAAGGAGGAGGGAACTGGAGGCGAGAGGAGGGAGAGGAAGGGAGGGCCGGCTGTTAAAATGTCAGTCGCTCCGGGCTGTCACCGGAGACCCCCTGTGAGGATGGTGCCCCTTTCCAGACCAATCGGAGGCCGTCGTAACCCCCGGCCACCAACAGGCTGGCGCGTCCCCAATCCTCCCGTCCCCACCCCGCACCTCCAACACTCAAGGGAATTACAGCCCACTCCACTTGTCCCCCACGGCCGACTCCCTGACAAACAAACAGTTCCTATGTACCCCCCCCACCCAACGCCACGCGAAAACACTGTCCGCTCCTCGAGTTCCTCTCAGCTCATGGGGGGGCTAACCCATCGTACCCCTCAAGGGACAGTCTAGACCACCCTCCACCCCAACCCCAGGCCGGGGTGGGGGAGGGGGGCCTCTTAAAGCGGAAGGCGCGTTATTTTTCTCTACTCACCAGCCCCGCAGGGAGAAATGGGGTGTCACGGCAAGGAGAGGGTGGCCCTCGCCCCTGGTCCGGGGGTGGAATCTTCAAAAGCGGGAAGCCGCAGCTCCGGGCGCGGGGAATATTAAATGAGACCGGCGTCCGCGCGGGCCCTGGGCGGCGCCGGGGGGCCTGGGCCCCCGTCGTGCGCGCGGGGGCGGGCAGGCGGGCGGCGGGCAAGCGAGGGACCGGGGCCGAGCGCCCGAGCCGCCTTGACTGTTGTTGATATTTTGCTTCCTTCCTTCTTTCGGGTTCCAAAGGTAACTCCTCCAGACCCCAGGAGTCGAGGCCGACGTAGGCACAGCTCACCCTAGCTTGAGGGGGTGGGAGACCTGGAGTGATGGACAGGCGGGGGGGCCAATGGGAGGAACCCGTGGGGCGGTGGAGGGGCGGGGCCAGTCGGGGGCGGTTCAGGACGCGGTCCCGCCTCTCGCTTCCCTTGGGCCGACCGGGCCGGGCCGGCGGCCCCCACCCCGTCGCCTTCCCAAGCTAGGCTGCGGCGCCGGGAGCGGCAGATCCCTCCGCCGGCCAGAAGGGAGGGAGAGAGTAAGAGACCCAACCAGGCAAAGTAGGCAGGCGAGACCCCGAGGCCTTTAAAGGGATCGGCCCATACCCACGGCGTCCCTCGGAGCTCGCTGACTGCTGCCTGGCACTGCTGCCACCACGCGCTCAAGGAGGTCCCTCCCAGGGGCTCTGCGGGAGGTTCTCACACTCACAGGCACACGCGCTGCCTCGGCACCCCAAGGCCCCAAGAGAGTTGGGAAGTGGGAGTCTAAGTAGACAAATTAAGAGGAGATTGTAAAGGGTGGAAAGATTCCATCTCCCCCACTTAATGTGTGACAACGCTCCACTTACAGGACCACGTTCTCTTCTAGGGGGTTACCTGGGGAGCTCAAGTTGCTCCCTCTACCTGTGACAGGCCCCCTCCCTTTCCAGGGCCCGGCTGGGCAGACGCCCTGCAATTTAAAGCGACAGCTCATAGTTCTCGGGTGACCTAATCGTCAGTGCCAGCGGCCCCAGCGCACTTACGGCCGGCCGAGGGGGCAATTTAAAGGGGCGGGACCCTAACCACCACCGCCCCCCCGCACCTGCCTCACAGGAAACATCCAGAAGCATCTCATTAAAGAGGTAGTAGTAGTATTATTATTATTATTTCTGGTTGCCTCTGGACACGGTGAATTTTTAAGACCCCCTACAACAAGAGTGTGAGTGCCACTGACCCCCATCAGCCTTTCTGTCCAGCATCCCTGTTACTTCCAAATCCCTGGGCTTTCTACCTGGAGCTTGAGGAAATGGTGGAATCTGGCTTGGATCTCAAAGATTGCAGAACAGAAGGGTGCTCAGTTCTTCATAGACCCGGGTTTCTATCGGACTGGGTCTAATTTACTACACAAAGACTCAATTTGGGATTAGTGCTGGAGAGACCAATGTACACAGAGAGAGGCAGCATGTTATGGTGGTTAGAAACATCAATTTTGCAATCAAGCTACCTTGGTTCAAATACTTACTCCACCATTTCTGAACATGAACACAGGCATTTAACTTTCCTCTAACCTCATGATCTTCCTGGTAAAATGGAAATGGTGATAAATATTAGTTGATATAAGTAGATTGTTTGGTACCATGCCTTTTGCTGCATTGTAATTTGGACTGTTGGATCAAGGGTTAGTCTGAAGATTCCTTTTGGCCCCTGTAAGTTCAGGTAAGCTTCAAAGGAGGCAAGTTCAGTAGGATTGTTCTGCAAATAGGTTGGAGACTTGTTCTGTACCTCCTTAAACAGGAAACCAGCAAGCTCCTATTTCTTTGGCCTCAGTTTCCAACCCTTCTACCTGGCCCCTCCTTCAGGAAACCTGATTTATACAGTGTCCCATATTGTGCTCAAATGTAGCTTCTCAGTTCCCCATTGATATGGGAAGTGGAGCCCCCAGCACCAGAGGATGTCAGTTCTCCCTGCCAGGCAAGGCTAGCTTGCCTCCAAGGCCGAGGAGCCCATCTGCCCCTTTCCCAAGGACTTGGAGAATGGAGTCTTATGCCAGGCTTGAGGTTGTGGCAGAAGCAGGATGGGAAAGTGCCCCCCCTTCAAGTGGGGAACCTCCCCTCACTTGTGGCCTCTATTTTTAGTGCTTCCCCAGGCTCTAGCTGGAGAAACCGTTTAGTCATCAGGGTGTTTATTTTCCGGCTGTTTCCGACGTCGGGAAAGCAGAATGTTGAGACTGGAGAGATTCAGGGCTGCTGAAAAAGACTTCTTAAGAACAGGCCTGGGAACACAGCCTTCAGTCCACTGGATCCCAGATAGGGGAGAAAAAAAAAAAAAAAAAAAACCAGAATGGGCAGGGGGCAGCCAAGTCCCCAGGAGATCAGAGAGCTAAGTTCTCAACCTGCCTCACGACTCTGGAGGCTCTCCAAGCCAGAGAACTATCTGGCTCCAGCTCTACTTGAAGATTCTCTCTAAAAACATAAGCAGCCCCAGAACAAATTCTTTCCCAGAATCTGATTCCCAGAAACCCCCTCCCCAACCTCCTGTAGATCAGCATGGTGAGCCTCCCACCAATCATAGCTCCAGCCAATCTCCAGCTAGAGGCAGGCCTGCCAGAGTTGTGAGTGGCTGACTGTTCCTCCCAGTCATGGAATGTTGGGTCCTTAACAAAGGAATGAGGAAGGAAGGTGAGTCACCTGGGGAGGGCATTAAAGGGCCAGGAACCCGAGGGAAGAACAAAGTGGATGAAATGGAGTGTCTTGGACCCTGAGATGCTAACATGGTAATTCACAAGAGAATAGAGAGGAAGACATTGATACTACAAGTGGGGCGGAACTTAGAATGTAGACAAAACTTCATGGGAGAAGAAAAATAAACACAAGGTCTTGATATCCATGGAAGACTTAGAAAAGGTAGGAAGTAACATTGCTGGAAGTTAGATGGAAATAAGGATTTCCTGAAAGGGACCTTCTAAACCTTTTTCTTCTGTCCCCTGGATTTCCCATCCCAGAATCCTCTGGGTGGAAAGCAACTGAGCAGGCTCAGATAACCAGTTCTCATTTTTCCTCCCCTACTTCTTGCTGTTTACCCATTTTTGCTAGTCACCTAACAGCTTCAGTGAAATCCCCTAGGAGTCACTAAATGCCCACCAAAGACCTAAAAAGAGTTTGTTGTGTAAACCCCCTACAGTATCATCTTCATAAGTTTATCTGGCAAAAGGAAATCAACACTCTTTTCATTCACCCCTTCCCAGGGTTCCTGAATCTAACTTCATTTGGAAAGGTCTTTCTCATGCTCAATCCCCACCTCAGGGTGGTTTCTCTGCCTGCCCAGGGAAACCGTCAGAGTTGATGGAGGCTCTAATCTGTCTAGTTACACGGTGGCCTCCTCTGGCCTTCCCCACAGCCATCTGGACAATCTCAACCCCCATCTCTATCCACCTCATCCTTTCTATCAAGGCTGCTCATTTTTCTTCTTTGAGTGATTCCAGCAAAGATCCCCAGAATCTCTCTCCACATCTGCCTGGCTTGTGACAGGAGGGACCATCAGCAGGTGTATGGTAGTTCGATGATATATTCTGGGTGAGGACGTGTGTCTGTCTGTTCTACAGCACTTTCCACTGCGTTTATCTATCTTCTCAGTAGACACCATAGTATACTGACATTTTTGGGTTCCAATTTACTTTCTCACCAGATTTTGAACTCCTGGAGTGCAGCAATCTACCTCAACTTTGGGTTTTCAGTGCTTTGCAGAGCAAATGTGGAATGCGCTCAGGAAATGTGTCACATGAATCTGTGTGTGTGTGTGTGTGTGTGTGTGTGTGTGTGTGTGTGTGTGCGCGCGCGCGCGCGCGCGCACAGCTGCGTATCTGAGCTAAGATTATAAAAACTTTATTGAGGAGCTCTATTTCTCTATTGGTAATTGTGCTAGCCCAGGGATGAGGGTCTAGTCTAGGGGCCCCTGCAAATTCCACTTCAGGTCAGAGTTGGGGGTGGGGATGGCAGAGTCAGAAGAGAGCTGTCCAAGGCTGTTATTGGCAGAGCAGTGCCCCACGTTTAGTGCCAGGGTGCCTGGGGCCAAACCTGGGGCAAAGGGCAGAGGCCCCACCCTGGGGTTGAAGGGGGCAGGGAAAGGGTGCCAAAGCCGGGTCCTGGGTCAGTGCATCCCCCCACAAGAGCTCCCTGCCCCGGGCTGGGCAGGATGTGGTGGCAGCTGCCGGAGGGTGGGCAGGATGTGGGGGTTGGGGCAGCTGAAATGCAGCCTGACAGTCGTCTCCCCAGCTCCTCCCTCCTTCTCTATTACCGCCCCACCATCCACCCCCTCCCGGTCACGTGCTCCCAGCCTGGGCACCAACGGACTATTTCCCCCTTTCCGCGGAAGGACATAATTGACATCGCTAATTCTAGTAACCATTGACTTAGCTGTACCACGCTTTTTTTTGCTCCAGAGTCCAGGACACAAAGTTTGCTCTATACTCATTTCTTTAAAGCCCTTATCATTAACTCGGGAGAGGTCCCTTTAAATGCAAATGAACCGCCTTCTCTCTCGTCTGCCCCCACCCCCATCCCAACTTCGCTCCTCGTGCCCAGACTCCACCAGCTGCCATTGACGTCACGTGTGCGTCAGCGTCGCCAGCCCAACCAGACGGCACGTGGGGAGAAGACGGTAGTCTTAAAGGGCCAGCCTTTCGTATACTGCTGGGTTCCTGCTGTGAGAGTTGGCCTGAGAAAGGAATAACGAAGTGGGATGTGGGAAAAATCTATTGAAATAAGAAGAAATGCAGGATGGAAGGACTTCCTAGAGTAACAAGGTTTTCTGGTTTTGTTTTGGTGCTGGGAATTGAACATACGGCCTCGCACATGCTAAGCATACTATAACTGGGGCTACATCCCCAGCTCCAAAGCGAGTTTATTCCTAGCCAGTCCTTAAACTTTAGATTCCCCAGAAGGTTGGGTTTTTGCACCTTGGAAAGAAACCCAGTGCAAAACTACTCTGAAGGTAGACACTTGGCCTATAAGAAAAATGGTGTCTGTCTTTGTCTTTCCCCTACCTCTGCGCAACATGTCCTCAGAGCAAAGACTTAATTCACTTCTGTTCCCAACACCTAGAACAGAGCATGCAGTAAACCTAGTCGTAGGTACTCAATTTAAGTATTTGTGAATTAGTCCTTTAGTCTAATTAGAAAGCCACCTCCTTTTGGCTTTCCTTAGTGCCCCATCCAGACCTATAGCAGACACACTCAGCTAAATACATTATTCTTTTGAACATTTATAGTATTTAATGAACTGTCGCATGTGTTAGAGACTGGGGCAGTGGCTAAGAACTCAGAACTTAGAATCCTATAAACGGGTTGCAATCCATGTATACTGTTCACTAGTT